ATGATCTCCCTTTGATGTTGAACCCCCACTCCCCTTTGAATTCAGAAAATAAGATAAGGTCCTTATCTGACCAGGGAAGAGGTTGGGGTTCTGAGAGGACACAGCTAGGAGAGGGCCTCCTCTGGTCGTGGGATCCACAGCCCTTTGGTCGCCCATCTCGCCTCCCTGCTGGTGAGGTTTCTCTCTTCACAACTATGGGCATCTCCCCACTTTCTGTGTGAGCCCCTTGATGGCCTGGAGCCCGTCCCTGGTCTCCTCTGGTGCACATAGCCTCATGCCACACCAGCAGGCGGTGACTCCCATAAGTGCCCGGCCACAGACAGCCGGTGGGCGCCAGACCCTCCTTTGCAGCCCACGGAGACCTCAGTTCCTCACCTGGACATCAGCCAGCAGTCAGCCCTCTAGGCCTGTCTCTGCACGACAGGCCTGAGCCCCGCCTGGGCTCCCAGGAGGTGCCTCACACCTTGGAACCTGGGCATTTCCTGGAGTTACAGGAGGAGAAGCCACTGTGTGTGCAGCCAGCAAAACTGCCTAGAGACTTTGTGTGCAAATTCACAGTACCTGAAAGCCCCTCTCCTCCCCGCCCCCCCTCCCAACCCCTTCCCCCACAGCGGGCCTCTGGGGAGGCATTTGTAGCTGGTGAGCTGGCTGCCTTCAAGACAGGCCCCTCGGGGTCCACCAGCTGAGTTACTTTTCCCCAGCCTTGCTTGACTATTGCAACAACCTAGGAGGCAGCGGAAATAATCCCACATCCCATGCTGCTTGTTTTCATCCTGATGGGTTGCTTGTTGTCTGCACACAGATCGCTCCAGAACACCCCCTCTGCCCCAGGTTTCCGTCTGGGCTGCATACAGCGCCCTCACTTTCCTTTCACTAATAAGCCTTCCTTCTGCCTCCCCATGGGGAGACTTTAAACTTTCTACCAAGTCAGCCCCTGCTAATTCCACCATTAATAACAATAATAATACATACTTTTGAGTGCTTATTAGGTGCCAGCCACAAGTCTAAGACTGCATGTACTAATTCCCTTAATCCTGACAACACACAGGGGCTAGAAGCTGGGTGCTCTATTATCCCATTTTACAGATGTGGAACAGGGACAATAAGTTCCTTGTCTAAGGTCACGTGAGTCCTTTGATTTTGGACAGGGAGGTAAATCCATGATGGGGAAATCCCAGGTACTCAGAACGCCCTCCCCCCGCACCCCGTGTTAACACAAACCCTCCCTGTCCTCTCTCTCCTCCTGCCCCCTCCGTTCCCCTCTCATTCTTTCTTGCACCCTTTACTAGTCCTTTACCTTCCAAGCTCTGCCAATGAGGTACCTCACTGTCCCTCTCTACTGCCCTCTCCCGACTGGGGTGGAGGAAGGGCCTTCCTTGCTCACCTCATGGCTGCTGCAGGGGAGAACCATGAGGACCAACGTGGGGGTGCGCTTGGCCCACTGGGGGTGCCAGGTGGGCAGGAGGGAGTCAGGCTTCACCCCATGGCAGAAGCCCATGTGCTTTGTCCATTGCAGCATCTCGGGCTACGGAGCTGCCGGCGGGAAAGGCGGGAGGAACACCATGATGCGGTCCCACGGCGTGTCTGTGCTGGGCATCTTCAACCTGGAGAAGGACGACACGCTGTACATCCTGGTTGGGCAGCAGGGGGAGGACGCCTGCCCCAGCGTAAGTGCCAGAGCAGGGTTTTCTCCTCCACATGCAACCCGGGCCCAGGGGGGCCCTCGGAGGGCACCGGCGCCCCTCACACTCCTCTGGGGGCTCAGGTTCAGCGATGGCAGGACCCTTCCCTTGTCCTGCCTGCAAGTGCCCCTCCTTTTCTAGGTCATTTGGGTGCTGGGAAAGCTGGGGGGGGTGGCTCTTGGGGTTTCACATTCCCACAGGGACCAAGGCTCGGGCACGGGTTGCACAAAACTAAAGGACTGCATCCCATGTGAACGGGCAAATGGTTGTTCCTTTCAGCAGAAGTACGAGTTGAAACCACGTCCTAAACTTTCTTGCTAGGGCATCGCTGTCTTTGGCCATATTATTATGAACAGGAAAATACCAGCTTAAACATTTCTTGTTCAGCTCTTAGGCACATATACTAGTATGTCCATAAGTAGATAGAACAAGGTCTGAAAATATACACATAACTGGTTGTTTCTGGGGCAGGGACTGGAGTTGAGGGTGCTTTATCAGCAATGCCCGGTATCGTTACAAAAAGAATGAGTCCATATAGTATTTATCATCTGTGTGATTAAAGCTTTTTAAAAATGTAATGCACAGATGAGAGCTGGAAGAACAGGTAATCCACTCGCCCCATTTCACAGATGAGAAAATGGAGACCATAGCGGTGACAAGGCTTCAAAGTCATTCACGACACAGGACAGAGTAGGGGCTTGGGCTCCTGTTTTTGCTGTGCCCAGCCTTGCTTAGGCCTCGGTTTTTATGGCCTTTTGTTCTTTTCCACTTACAGCCCATCACTTGACAAGCCAGACCGCCATTCTCTGCAGCCCCAGACGTAGCCTGTCCTTCTCGTTTCTGACCCCACTAGGTGTCTAGCAGTCACACGGGAGAACTCCAGCAGCAGGAGCTAAGAAAGCTGGTGGAGCGCTAGCTGGTTTGGCTCAGTGGTTGGAGCCTTGGCCCACGGACTGAAGAGTCTTGGGTCAGATTCCATTCAAGGGCACGTACCTGGGTTGCAGGCTCCATCTCAGGCCCTGGTCAGGATGCACACTGAAGGCAACCAATGGTTGAGTCTCTCTCACATCGATGTTTCTCTCTCTGTGTCTCTCCCCCTCCCTTCTACTTCTCTAAAAAAAAACTGGTAGAGGTCTGACATGACCAGGAGCATGAAAAAGTGCAGACTAATGAAGCAGCTGCCATGCAAACGCTCAGCACCTAGTGGCTTGCCTCTTGCTGTGCCAGGCCCCTGGCAGTGCTGGCTGTCCTCGCAGGAACTCAGCCCCCTGCAGGGCGTGTCCCCTTGGGGCCAGGCCCCACCCTCACTTGCAGCACAGCTTCGACCTGGGGCAGGGAGTAGCCTCAGAGGACAGATGTGGGGACAAGGGCTACTGAGAAAGCAATTCAATTCCACAAAATAAACTCAGGGCTTCTAAGAGCTGGCACTGGGCTGGGAGCAAAGCATAGCCTCCCCCGCCCCCGCCCCCCATATTATGGGTTAAAACAAAGCAGCAGGCATAAGCTTCGCAGGTACAACCTTGTGAATGAGGACTGTCTGGACTCCAACTTTTACTCAGCAACAAGAATCAGGACTTTCCAACCTGATATAATATATTAAGTCATTAAACTGCAGGCTGCCGTAATGTTCACAGGAATTTATCGAGTGCTAATGTAATTCTTTCATCTAAGCAGAAAGATTGCATTGACTTTTGCAAGGGACTTTTACTTGATTGGATTGTAATCAGTTATGTCTTTTCACAGGCCTGCGTCCTCTCTTTTTTTAATTCAATTGTAATCTACTTGTTCCTCTGGTTGCTGCACTTTATCATTTCATTAATCAACTGACTCGCTCTCAAAGTTGGTGGATGTGCAGGGAGAGCTCAGTTCTTAGCCAGGGACAGAGGGCAGCCCCCTCTGCTGGCCGGGCGGGCACAGCATGGGCCTGGGGAAAGGAACTGGTCTTCCCGGTGCTCCCCCCCCCCCCCCCCCGGAGTTACTGGGAGAAGGAGAAAGACAGACCTCTTACAGGCACTACCTCGACCTTGAGTTCTCCAAAATGGTGTCTAGAGAGGATCCTCTAGAAGACGAAGTGGACTCTAAGAATTAAGCTGCGGGAGTTGCCAGCTTTGCTGGTTCCGCTCATATCCGTGTAGTTGCTCTTCCCATGCACTTGGCCACACGGAGCCCGGAGTGGGCCCCGCTGCTGGAACCCCCTGCAGGGATGTACATCCCTCAGCCCCCCCCCCCCTCCCGCTTCTCCACTTCCTTCCTGGACTCATCTGGGGACATGATGCAGGGCTCTTTACATCAGCACTACTGACATTTGGAGCAGATAATTCTTTGAGGTGGGGGCTGTCCCGTGCACTGTGGGCGGTTAGCAGCATTCCTGGCCTCTCCCCACCAGATGCCAGTAGGATCCACAGTAATGACAATCAAAGATGCATCCAGACGTTTCCAAATGTCCCCAAGGGAGCAAAACCACTGATCTAAATGTTAAACCTCACCACCACCACCACCACTCGCAATGCAAATATTGTGAGAGGCTGGTGCACACCCACACAGCTCCCAGTTGGTTCAATCGTATTCAGCAAATATTTGTTAAATACATACTCTATGCCCATCACTGTTCTAGGAACATGGGATGTAGCCATGAACATATATCTAAAGAAATATCTTTGCTCTCAATATCTTTCTTTACATTCATGCCAGGGGTGGAGGGACGAACAGACAATAACTAGTTCATCAGTTTATTAGTTAATCAGGGTATCCCAGAGTGACATGCAGGGGTCCTCAAACTATGGCCCGCGGGCCACATGCGATCCGCCAAAAACATTTATCCAGCCCACCGGGTGTTTTTGCCGCCGCTGTGTGCATAGAAATTTGTTCATAGTGTTTTTTTAAACTATAGTCCGGCCCTCCAACGGTCTGAGGGACAGTGAACTGGCCCCCTGTTTAAAAAGTTTGAGGACCCCTGTGTTAGAGTATAGGAGTAGGTAGGGAGAGCCAGATGTGCCAGAGTTTGAGGCAGGTTGCAGTTTTAAACAGGGTGGCCAAGGAAAGCCTCCTGAGAAAACGGCAATTGAGCCCTGGCTGGTTTGGTTCAGTGGATAGACTGTTGGCCTGTGGACTGAAGGGTCCCAGGTTCGATTCTGGTCAAGGGCACATTCCCAGGTTGTGGGCTCGATCCCCTACTCTCATCGTTGATGTTTCTAACTCTCCCTTTCACTTCCTCTCTGAAATCAATAAAAATATTTTTTTAAAAAAAGAGAGAAAGAAAATGGCAGTTGAGCAGAGTCCCGAAAGAGGTGAAGAACAAGGAAAATATCTGGGGAGTCCAGCAGACAGAGTCCACGTCCCTGAGGGCAGAGCACGCCTGGTGTGGCATGCAGGGAGCAAGAGGGGGAGTAGAGGAGACATGAGGTCAGGTAAAGGGCCAAGTCAGACCCTTGTACGGTCATGTTTAAGCATGTGTTGAACGGAATAGTGAGAATAGTGAGCCGATGCAGTTTGGGCTTTTAAAGGCCCACTCCTGCTACAAAGGAGAGAACAGACCCTGTGGGCCCAAGGGAAAAGTCAGGCAGTGAATTCGATGGCTATTTCATCAGTCCCAGCAAGAGATGCTGGTGGCTTGGACCAGGATGGTAACAGCAGAACTGGTGAAAAATGGTTGAATTCTGGGCATAGTTCAAATGTAAAATCCAAAAGGATGTCCTGCCCGATTAGATGATGAACTGAGAGAAAGAAAGGGTCAAGGTTGACTCCAAGCATTAAGCCTGAGCCGCTGGAAGGAAGGAGCTGCCGTCACCTGATGGGGGATGCTGTGGAGGAGCAGGTCGGGCGCAATCAGGAGTTCAGTGTTGGGTGTGCTGGCTGTAGAGCGACGTCTGGTAGACAGCCCAGCGGGGGCTCTGGTAGACAACAGGAGATGGGCCCCTGGAATTCAGGAGAGAAGTCTAGAGTGGAGACACCGATTTGGGAGAAACGAGCATAAAGTGGAGACAGAATGAGCAGTCAGATGGAGAAGACCAAGGACTGAGATCTGGGGACCCCCAACAGGAAAAAGGACATGAACCAGCAAGGAGGCTGAGGAGGAGGAGCCAGGGAGGTAGGAAGGAATTCAAGAGGGTGTGCAGTCCTGAAGGTCAGGTGAGGAAGCTGTATTATGAAGAAGGGATCAACTCCACCAAGTGCTGCTCCAGGGGCGGCAGGGGGTGAGCTATAGTGACACAAAGGCCCTCGTCCAGTCCATAGCTCCCTCCTCCCCACTCCTGCAATCTCCAGCATCTGCATCCCCAAGCGCCGGAGGCCCCCTGCTGCCAGGCAAGGAGAGGAAGAAAGGGAGCAGGGTCTGAGGGGATGGACCGCCTTGGCACCACTGGTTCAGACTGGGCAGCCCCCGATCTACAGAGAAGGAGGCAGGTCCAGGGAGGTTCTGGCCTCAGCCAATGTGGCTCAGCCACTCTCTAGCCGAGCCTGTTAAGAGGCCAGCCTGAGCCCTGGGTATACAATCACTATGTTGTATACCTGAAACTAACATAATGTACTTTAATGTCTTTTAAAAATCTCTCTATTCTTCAAAGCCCAAGTAAGTGCCACCTGCTGCAGGCAGTCCTCTCTGATCACCAGTCAGCAACAAAGGCTCCCTCTCCCTCCCCCACTCCCCATGCATTTTCTAACAAAGCTATCCTCGTGATCCTTCTCTAATACTGCCCAGAGTGACAGTTATCTGGGTATATTTTTGGTCACTTCAACTCAACTCTAAGCTATTTGAGAGATAGACCCTATCTTTTTTTAAAATATATTTTTATTGATTTCAGAGAGGAAGGGAGAGGGAAAGATAGAAACATCAATGATGAGAGAAAATTATTGATCGGCTGCCCCCTGCACACCCCCTACTGGGCATTGAGACCACAACCAGGCATGTGCCCTTGATCGGAATCAAACCCGGGACCCTTCAGTCCACAGGCCTGCGTTCTATCCACTGAGCCAAACTGGCTAGGGCAGACCCTATCTGTAAACATAGATCTGTCTGCTGGGAAATAGAGAAACTTGGACACAAACCTGAGCTGCTTTTTGTTTCTGCAGACAAACCGATTAATCCAGAAAGTCTGCATTGGAGAGAACAACGTGATAGAGGAAGAAATCCGCGTGAACAGAAGCGTGCACGAGTGGGCAGGAGGGGGCGGAGGAGGGGGCGGAGCCACCTACGTATTTAAGGTGAGGTGGGCTGTGCCAGCTGCCAGGGGCAGTGACTTCTGCATGTCATGGGGTTGCCTGGCGACAGCCCCAGGAACCAAATGCCACTTAGTGCCATTTAAGGATGAGGAAACTGAGGCATCGGGACATCGGGCTCCCTGTCTGTCCAAGAAAGGCAGGCTCTTCTCTCGCTGCTGTACCAGCCCGATTCACCCCCAGGCCTCGGCCATGCCTGCCCCAGCGCTCCAGAGGGTCCACCGTGCCCTCCTCTGTCCTAAGGTGGACGTTCCCTGCCAGGCCCCCTCACAGGGACAGTGATGCTGAGTGCTTGCTCGGGAGGTTGTGGGGGTCAGAGCCAGAGACCCCAGGGAGTGAGAGGAAGGAGAGAGCAAAGAGACCTCCTGCCACCAGCACCCAACCTCTGCGGCTCCTCTGTGAGCTTCGGGAAAGGGGGCTGCACGAGCAGCGTCTGAGCTTGAGCCCCGGGTTGCTGTAACCTGAGTTCAGAGCCCTCAGCCCACCAAGTATCAGCCGCTGCCAGGCACACACTCAGACACGTTAAACCAGGGCTCTGGCTCTCCAGAGGGAAGCCCAGCCCCGTTTGTCAATCTCTCAATGTCTCTCCGGCCAGATGAAGGACGGCGTGCCAGTGCCCCTGATCATTGCGGCTGGCGGAGGTGGCAGGGCCTACGGGGCCAAGACGGACACGTTCCACCCCGAGAGGCTGGAGAATAACTCCTCGGTTCTAGGGCTCAACGGCTACTCCGGAGCCGCAGGTAAAGCAGTCAAGCCCGCCCCTCCCAGAACGTCTTCCCGGGGCCATCACACACCTGTGGCATCTTAGTCACTGATACTTGAGAGGCTGGGAGCTCTGACATGGGTGCCAGCCTCCAGGGAGGAAGGGCAGGCGGCATCTTTAGGCCCCAGAGACCAACTTGCTGATGCGCCGTTTGGACTTGTGGAAGGTCACTGAGGGGACCAGCATTCAGACCACCAGCCCAGCCCGCCCTGGGTTTTACCAAATGCAACTGGAGGTGAGCAGAGGGAAGGAATCTGGGGCGGAGTCCAACCCTCCAGACCCCCATGGTTCCTACCTCGCCGGCCTGGGCTGCCAGCTCACACAGCTCCTCACTGGGAAAGCTCTTGCTGGAATCTTCGTGGCTGGGCTCTGTGCTAGTCGTGAGAGCAGCCACACAGACAGGACAGGCACTGAAGGCGATGTGGGTTCTCTGATTCTCGGAAATCAGCCATCTCTAAAGAGAAAATGCAATTCCTTTTTGTATTTTCTCCACAATCGGAGTGAAGGAGGGTTTGGGAAGCATTTAAAATTCGAGATTAATTCAAGCAAATATTCAAACTTTCTCTTCAGTCAAGAGATGCCTAGGGCTAGAAGAAAGTAGAAATGGTTATCGTGTCCACAGTAAGGAGTTGCTCCCAGCACTCTACAGCGCCCGGGACACCTGTGCAGGTTTAATAAGTTACAAAGCACTTCTGCAGCTATTATACATGCGCTTTTCAAAACATATCCTAGGGTTTTCCAGAAAGATATTATTATTCCCATTTTATAAGAGTCAGCGAGCTCATAGAAAGTTAGGGGATTTTTTTTCTCAACATGGCCACAGTTTCATACTCAATTCGTTTTTTAAAAAACGTTGTTGATGTATTTTTATGTGCATGATTTTCTTTTCCACATATTTGCTCAAAGGCTGCAAGATAGAGTGAGGTGTCAGACACCACCTCAGCTGGGGGCTGCGTAGGGCGCAGGGTAGGCGGGTGGAGGCAGCGGAGGTGGCAGGCATGGAACCAGGCCCGTGCGTCCTAATGTATTCACTGTGCTCAGGGCTCGCTCTGCATGGCCAGCTGCCAGAACTCGCCCAGGTCCCTCACGGAGCAGGGCCTTCCCTCCACCAGCTGACATCAGCACCCGCTCTGGCTGGAGAAGAGGCCAGCCACTTGAAACCTAAGCACCTGTAGCTTCCAGAGGTGACAGAAGGTCCCCACGACTTGCCTGGGGGGTTTGATTGCCTCTGTGTGAACTCATTCTAGACCCAAGCTTGTTCCTGACCTGGGTCTCATTGTCTGAAACCTGTCTCCCTCTTTGTAGCATAATAGCCATCTCTATCCATAGCTCCCCTACCCCAATTCCCCCCTCCCCGCCCCCCACACACATACACACCTAGCCTCCCTCTGCTGCCCCCTCTGGGTCCAAAAGGACCTCCCAGGCCAGCTAACCCTTACAGACCCAGCAGACCTGGCACCGCTGTCTCCCCAGGTCCCACCACCATCACCTGCCGGAGCAGAGAGGGCTCTGGGCGCTTTGGGAGTAGGCTTCCTGGGGAACTGTCACATGAGCCAATATTGGGGGAAAGGCCCTGGAATCTCAGGAGTCAGCAGGAGCCTCAGCGCGGTCAGCCTTGGCCTCAAGACAGAGGGCACTCTGCCTGCACTCTGCAAACAGCACTTCCTCCATAAGCGCTCACCGCAGCCCAGGCATGGTCACTCCTGCTCTGCCCCTGACCTTGGAGCAGCTCCTCAGAAGCAGGCAGGCACAACACTGCCTGAGCTCAGAGTGGGAGGCCTCTGCACACGTGTGTCTGCCTCCAATGCCCGGTGAGCCCTACACCGTGGTGCGTCATGAAGCGTTTCACACTCACCGCCTCCTTCGATGCAGACATCAACCCGCTGAGGCCGTCTTGTTATTCCCAGGTTAGGGCTCAGGATGGGGACGCTCTGGCCCAGTCAACAGCACAGCCGCCGGGTTATCCGTGCCTGGTCCAGCTCGACAAGGACTCTGC